TAGCAAACAACCAACTTCCAATTTGAATATGACCGTTGGATGTGATGTGGTGTGTCTTCTCTGGAACATACTCAAATTAGGTGAAAATCCAACTATTTAAAATGAAGATTCAAAGGATTTTCTTATCAATGCTCACTACCACAAATCTGATTTTCTATTCAGTAGAATTTTCATAATTATCTCGAAGTTTAGGGGTAGTTTGGTAATTTTCTATTTTCTGAATATATATATATATATATATATATATTATTTTTTTTTCTTTTTGAAAAATCTAAAAAAATTTCATTCCTTGGGGTAATTTTCTTTCTCGATCACCTTAAAATTCCATCTCAATAGGGAATTAAAAATCAAAAATCAAGAAAAATTCTTAAAAATGGAAAAAATTACATTTTCATTCTTTTTGCTTACTTTATGCCTTTTTCTATATCATTGGCGAGGAGACAGCTACAGCCCATAAAATATTTCTTCAATCTCCAAACCGTATACTGTCCCCAATAACTACCGAAAAACCAACTAGTTGTGCTATGTGCATTTCTAAAATGTAAGGTTTTTGCTCTCATATTTAATTCTTTATTTTGATTTTTAATAAAATCTATAAGAACGAAGAGTTCATACCCTCTCGGTCTTCCAAAAATGGTAACGTTTTTTTTTTTAATTATTATTTTATGATACTTAGAAAAGTGAATAATCAAAGGCATTGGATAAGTTGAAATTCAAAGAAGGACTAGTTGTCAAAAAAAACAAGGTTGGTGAAGAAGATATAAGAAACCATATGGGTGATGTTGAGATTTATTTTTTTTAATAAAATAGAGATGCCATTCCATGACACGTCTATAATGTACGAAATTTTTTTTTATTTAAAATATTTCATAAACGTTATCATAGACTTAAACATTCGTAAAATCATTTTAAATAAAAGTATATAAAAGTATACATCAATAAAATAATGAAAATGAAATAACAATAAGTTTAAAGTAATGGAAACGTCATGATCTATCTTAAGGGCTACAATTTAAACATAAATGCCACTATCCTAGTTTCAGTTCCATGGCCTCCACAACGTGAGCGTCGTCGTCGTCGTCCATAAATGAGTGCTTATATTTACCTGAAAATAAAAGTATTTTAAGAAATATTGAGTAATTAACTCTATTGTTTGGGTAAAAAATGCATACACTAGCAATCATGGTGTGATATATCCTTTCATAAAAACATTTCATAGCCTTGAACTCTACTCTCCAGTGGGGTGAAAATTGGATATGTAGTACTTCTCTACATACGACCCAAGCACACGTGTGCATTGACCCACTAGGCAGTCATACGTACCCACTGGGCCTACCCTTCAGCTAGCGCACGTTCATGCTGCCAAAAGCCACGAACGGAAAGGAGCCTGCATAATTTCATGACATGTATGCGTCCATATAGTCCAATGCATGTGACGTACAAAAATGCATAAGCTTATGTATGCAAGACATAACTCCATTTTTTTTCATGGCATATCATTATTATGAGACACATATACATATTACTTGTCATCATTTTCATAATTTTTCCAACGACTCTAATGTCCTAATAAAATCAATGTCATCAATATACATAACATAACTACCGTGCGCGAAAAAATTCATTTAAAAGAAATATTTCATAATGAGGTCATGGAGTTACATATTCATTGTAAAATCATTAAAACGATGTGGCAGAAAATATTTAAATAAAATAAAGAAAATAAAGTAGTTGTCTTGATCAAACCTTATAAGCTAAAAAAAGAAAAACAACATGAATGCATCTACCCTAGCTTTGATCTCGTGGCCGTCACCGCTATGTTGTCATCCATACAGAGTTGTCTTACCTTTATCTGAAAAATAAAAGTAGCACTTTGACCTGAGATTTTAAGAAATACTGAGTAAGTAATCATGCATGGCTCACGTCGTAGCACTTGACTTGACTTGACTTGACTTGAGATTTTGAATTATCATTTCATAAAACATCATAACATGGTCTTGGTCTCTACTTCTCATTCGGGCATAATTAGATGTGTACTACGTCGTTACACATGCATGGCTCATGTACGCGCACATAGAAACCCAAGTGAGCTCGTATACATACTCCCTGGATCTAGCTTTCGACTAGCATACACTCACATTGTCGGTATACCACAAAGGGAAAGGAGTGGGCATAGTATTGTGGTGTACACAATATTGTATCATAACATTGTAGTGTACACGTATTGTATCATAACATTGTAGAATACACGTATGTACTAATCAGTGGGAAAGTATCCCATAATTTAAAATCATTGCATTAAGTTTCATAGCATAACATAATCATATCACAACAATAACATAATAAACAGACATAAATCAATCACAAGGCATGACATGTACAGGGGTTATAGGGCACACATCAGCCATGCTTCAAACAATTCATCTAACTAAGCCAATAATAAAGTCACTCACTTGAATAGCTTAAGCTAGAATCCCTAGTTTGTTCTTGGAGTTGGACCGAACCTATCCCTTAAAGTCCAAGTTAACCATGTTCATTACATCGAGTTAGAACACGTTGAGCGGCTTAATCTATCTAGTACTCACAATTAAACCTCTTAATTTTAGTTTAGATACTTTAAATTGGCCATATAGTGAGATTGTCATATGTCACCTACATTCGAATACTTCCCTGTTATGATTAGTACAGATTCGTACATTACGATATCATGCATGTCATTATAAAATTTAGTGTACTAAAAAATTGAAGTAAACCCTTCTATGACGCCTCACATACTAATACGCCAAAAATTTGTGGAAGAAAATTGACCTTCCAAACTTACGGTTTTTGCAATTTGACCAAGCAAATGTATTTGAAAAGCTCATCTAGATCAAAGATGCGAGCTATATTGGATGGACTTTCAAGCAATGGAATATACGACTCCTTTCTATGCCTCTAAAATTGTTATCGTGAACCAAAAAGACATAGCAAAGAAAAGAGGTGCGAGCAGCATGAGACCATACAAATAACGTTTGACCTTTGGTTCATTTATTCCTCTAAGCCAAATGGATATTTATTTATTTATTTATTTATTTAAATAAAATGTTACATATTCTTGTAATTTTGTAAGAAAGGAATCTTGATTTGATGAGACCATTGGTCAAAGTTATGAATTTGGATTCTTTTTAATTCTTATTATTCAATTGTCTTTTTATTACCAAAAAGGAAAGAAAAAATAATTAATTAAGAGAGGACCCCAATAGTTTGCATATTTCCAAAACACACCCCTCCAATCCTTTTCTTCTTTATTGCGTTATGTTCCAGCCGCAGGGAGCAAGGTATTCAAAGTTCATGTGTTCTCTATCTTACTCCTTAAATTACCCAAATACCCTTTTCTTTTACATTATTATATTCCAAAAAAAAAAAACTTTATTTTGAATAATATTTTCCGTTAAAATTAGTGAATAAATTAAGTAGCGTCTAAGATAAAAGTAAAATAAAAAATGGCAGTATTTGATGGACGCATTTTAAAATCGTGAGGTTGTAACAATTTGAAATTTTATACTCAATTTAAGATCGTCATTGTATACATATTATAAACATTGAATGCGGAAATACTTCATTTAAAGTTTCATAAAACGTCACATCCATCTTAAAACACAGTTTTGGACTTACGCGTTTTGAAAATACCTTTGAAAATGACACAACAAAAGACTGAATAAAATAAATAAACGTTTAAATTAAAAACATCATATTCTAAGTCTAAGAAAATAAATACGACTACACTATGCATGTGTCGTGGTCTCGAGTTGCGATTTCGTGATCAACTGTACAGTAATGTCATGTCTTAACCTGAAATAGAAGTAGTATGTAGATTGAGAATTTAAAGAAATACTCAATAAGTGACCCCATTATTGTGGGTTAAATGCAAAAACATGCGAATGTAATAATAGGGTCTATCCTTTCAATCATTTTCCTATGGTACTATCCTAACCGATAACTTGGATGCGTACCATATACTCAACACACAGCCCATACGAGGCTGACAGCGATACGTAATAGGTTAAAGCAGACAATATTTGCTAGCAGTGGACTTGGGTCATTACAAATGATATCAGAGCCAGACATCGAGCTGTGCTTAAAATCGTGAGGCTGCAATATGTGACTACTCAAAGCTAGCTAGCAAGCGAACAATATCTGTTAGCAGGGAATTTAGATAATTTTATTTTAAAAAATTGCAACATTTTAAAGAAAAATGTTAGATTTTAGTAAAGTTAATGAATTTTGAATAATAAACAAATTTAAGTTATTTAAAACTTGAAAATTTGAAAAATAGAATATAAATAAAAAGAAAATATTTAGGGTAAAAGTGATAAATTTGAAAACGGGGAATACGTTGGGAAATGGAAAATTGGAAAAAGAAAAGATGGGCAATAGGGAATGGCATGGGGGAAAACCCTTATTTTATTTATTTATTTATTTATTTGTCTATTTTTATTCATTATGCCTTCGCTTTAATCCAAGCACTCCTTCCGACATGTCGCCATCATTTCTATTTCCTTTTTCTCTTCTCTCCCACTTTTAAAACTACACATCATCTCTAATATTTTACTTTTCCTTTTTTTACTCTATATTTTTATGAAAACAACATTTAAGTATTATTTTAAATACTCCTCCATATTAACAAATTTAAAACAAATATATAATTAAAAATAATGACTTAAAATTATAAAAATGGCCCGAACATTCTTAACATTTATAAAAGAAATATAAAAAAAATATGATTATTGAATTAATTAGATTTATATTCGATTGTTGGGTTATATGCGTGAATCAAATGAATTTTATCTGGATGGGGCTGAACGGTGTTTGGTTGGATTAATTTCAGAAATTGAAAGTTTTTGGACTGAAAAAGTGACCTGTTCAGTAGTAACTTTTAGAGTGCATGGTAACAATACAGAGAGACGAAGGGGACCAGAATTGAATATGGTTGTTTATAAAATATAAAAATGAAAAAAGAAAAAAGAAATTAAGAAAATATTTAATTGGAACTTGAATTTGCATAATTCATGAAAAGAAACAAAATATTGATTAATTTGTACATCCCAAAGCATTGGACTATATTTACACCTAATTAACTAACTCATAAAATAACCTCCCCAGATTGTTTCTCCTATAAACTTCACAATCTTCCTCACCGCCCCTTTCTCCGCCGCTTCCTCCCCGCCGCCGCCGCCGTCACCTGCCCCTTCACTCTCCGTCAACCTCCCCTTTTCTTCAATCAACCTCCCTCCATTCCTCTTCTTCCTTTCCTTCCTATTCCTCTTTCCCTTTTGGGTCTCCGCTAATTTTTCTTCATATGCCTCGATGATTTCGTGTATCACTTCCCGATTCGGCGACGAGTCCCATCGGACCCAGTACCTCGTGTAGCACCGGAAACAGCCGCACGAGAATGCCGGAGAGTGATCGGAACCGAACTTTGCGCTGGGGGTGGTAGTGGGTTTCTGTTGGCTACACTTTCCGCGGTGGCCGGAGTAGTTTTTGTCGGCGGAGGAGATTAGGTAGGCTAAGACCTGTCGGTCCTCTGAGGTGAGCGCCGCTGCGAGGGTGAGGATGGCGGCGGGGAGAAACGAGAGGTGGTCGGAGATTGGCGGCGATGGGTGAACCGTTCCTCTTCTCCTGTATTGCTTCTTCATCGGAGAGGAAAATAAAGGGGGAGAATCATTGAGAGAGAGAGGGAGAGAGAGATTTTATTGAGGAGTGGGCGCGTGGGGAAGTGCGAGTGGGATTGAACTGCAATGACAATGCATGGCGATGGGAAATATTCACGTGAAACGCAAGTATTTGAGTACATACAGTACTTCCCTAATTGATGAACTATCGTACGGGGTAGATTCTTGATTTATTGGTGGTGGGGGCCCACTTTCATCGCTTCAGTAATTTCTCTGTTTTATTATCTCGTTGTTTTGCCAGGTGTACTTTTGTACGCTTTTCGGCCTCCGGTTCAGACCGGATCTGAGTCGGAATTGTATGCTGATGAACTTCGATCCATTTTCAGATTTCGGTTTGCCAAGTCAGCAATTTTTTTTTCCTAAATTAATAAAACTATTCACTACATCTCAAAAATACATTTCAATTTTTTTAAATTTCAATAATATTTTTAATTTAAAAAAAATATATTCATTTTAACTAAAAAAATATAATATATATATATATATGTACACTTTAGTTTTGAATGAATGTCATAAATATTTTATTTTAAAAATAACTTTTAATTTTTTAATTTGAATATACAACACTTTTACCGTGTGTAAATTAGGGGTGTACATGAGTTGAGTTGGATTAGAATAGATTGAGGGAATTTTTTGGACTAATTAAAAGTTCTGTTGGTTGGATATGCAACTTAACCAACTTTTTTAAGTTCTGTTGGTTGGATATGCAACTTAACCAACTTTTTTTTTAGGTGAGTTGAGTGGTTAAAGTTAATTGAAAAAAATTAAATTTTTATTTATTTATCCCCAATACATAATCATTCCATAAAACTTAAATAAAAAATATTAAAAAGTTCACAAACAAATACAAATCAATTCACAGCGGTTCAAACAAACAAATTTTTTATCCATATATTTCCAAACAATAAGATGATAATAATTAATTGTAACATAGTTTAATAGTGTCATAGAACTAAAAACAAATAAATGTCAATATTTTTTTGAATAATTGATTAATCAAGAAAAATAGAGCGATATATTCTAAAATTCAAACCTAGTAAAAATAATTAATTTAAAAAAGTTATGCATTATAAAAATAAAAACTAAATAAAGATAACTTACTTGATGGACTTGAAGTCTTACATTATCTAAAAAAACTTAGAAATATGTAAACTGTGATATAAAATTTAAACAGATGGCAACAAAGGGATAATAAATAAATTAAAATTAAAATTACTTATTTCAATTTTAGAACAAATCTCCAGATGTTAAGAAAGATTTAATGCACTTATATTTTAATAAGGTTTATTTCGATTTTGGTCAATTTAAAAATTTATCTAACGAACCCAAAAGTAGATTTAAACTTATTCAGTTCGAGAAAATTAACCTGATCTAACTCAACTCTTATAATATGAACTGGGACGGTTTGAATTTTCGAGTTGTCGGATTTAGTGTACACCCCTAGTTTCAATCGTGTTTCTTCTCCATGTAATCATCTGTAATTGTGAGAGACTAATCCATTCAAAAGCATCAACATGTCTTATATGCTTTGAAGCAATTAGTGTTTAATAGGGGGTAAATGGGTCGGTTTGGATTGGGTGGATGGAATTTTTGGACCAACCCAAAAGTTCAAGTTGGTTGGATTAATAGCCCAACCCAAAAATTTTCGGGTTGAGTTGTCTTGTCCTTAAAATTTTTTTTATAAACTTTTATTCATCCACAATTCATAAATATTCGATACAATCTTAGATTAAAAAAAAATATTAAAATTTCAAAAATAAACTCAAATCAATCTATAATCATTCAAACAAACAAATTGTTCGTCAACAACAAGTACAAATCCTAACATTCATAGTTTAACATTATCATAAGACTGAATACCATGAGTACTTGTTAATTAATTGGTTAAAAATATACCATAGATGTTGAAATTCAAAAGCAATAATGGAGAATCTTCTCACCTAACTAAATATTGATTTAAAAGCTATAATAGACATTAGAACTGTGATTAAACTCATATTTAAAATAATTTATTCTACACGGGTGAAAAAAAGATGGATTAAAAGTAAAGAATCCTTAAAAAAAAAACTTTCACCTCCTCTTTCCCACCAACACAAAAACAAAAAATACAAAATGTTTTTGCTTCAAAACCGTTTAAATTCATGTATAAATCATAATCAAGAAATGATTGTTTAAGAAGAGTCACAGTATGTCATATTACATCATTCAAGCAAAATATATATATATATATATATTTAATTTAATAATTACTGTGACATTTGACTTTTAAAAGAATAAGAATGACTGACCATAGATAAATGAAGTGAATTTTAAAACATATTTTGTAACCGTTGGATCATCTACCTCAGTTTATCCCGTTGGAGTGCTTCTTTAACCATGTTCACCAATTCATGTTTACAAATTTAACAACCAAATTACAAAAATAAACACCAAAAACTCATTAATTTCGTGTACTTGTGCTTTCGGATGTGCTTCGTTACTTCCAAGATAAATTTTCTGAAACTGTCGGGTGGCCCGAGTTCGATACCCGCCAAGAGCTTTGAGATAAAAGCTATAATTAATCTAACATGTCCTCATATCTTAAACAGGTTGTTGTAGTTAGTGGTAAGTATTCCTGCCTGTCACGCGGGTGACCTGGGTTCGATCTCCGGCAACGGCGATTATTTTTTGTTTTTGCAAATAAAATTAATTCAAAAATAATTTAATGTAAAATATAGTATATGTTGTTTAATAAATATAAATTTTGATTCTGTTTTTAAAGGATAAATATATTAATTTAAACTCTGTTAACAACATGGTGGTTGAGGTAAAGTGTTATTAACCACAAATCATATCAACATTAACCATATTTCAAAAAATGATTAATAAATGTAAATAAACCTTACATCAATTTTTTACTTTCATTCATTAATCCACACATTTTTCTTTTCATTATAGATTATTTAAATGATGATCTCCTATTAAAATATTTATTTAAAAATGTGAATAAAAAGTTTTGGACCCGTCTATTTCGGGGTTAAATGCAAACACATGCAATTTCATGAATTGGACCTACCATAAGAGTCTATTTTCCTACAACAACTATCCTAAATGGACAATTGGATGTCTATTTAATTTACTTATACACGGTACACACGTGCGAGTATGGACCCACAGGTTGGTTCACACCCAAAGCTTATGGCTCGTGAAGGAGGAACTCCTGGTAAATCCTCTAGGAAGACATCAGAAAATTCGTTTACTATGGGTACCAAGCTTAAACTATATTCTTCCATATGGGTATAGTTCAGGTTTTTTAGTGTCTTGAAACGGTTTTAGAGACATTATTTTTAGGTCTTTTCTATCTTTTTTACCTTTCTTGTCCCCTAACTTAGTCCTTTGCTGGCTTGAATTAATCTCTTTTTCTCGATAAGAAAAGCTAGTCTTCTTACTTAAGATAGACATTGGAATTCAAAATCAATAGAAAAAGAAATAATCGAATTCACATATTTGTAACCGTTGACTCTATTTCCTTATCTGATTTCACGAGTTAGTCACTCAACTATTGATTTGTTGCAAACCGCACTTTCCCATGTATATATATATATATGTATATATATATATATGCATATATATATATATGTATATATATATATATGCATATATATATATATGTATATATATATATATATGTATATATATATATATATAAGAATCTAGAAAATTTGCATGCTATTTTCTTTACGTAAATAATGTAAGTTAGGAATGAATGGTTCATTCAGTAATCGATGAAATTGACTTTGATTTTATTGGAAATTAAACAAAATCAAATGTTAAGCAACTCGCTTTTCGAGAGACTTGTGCCACTAACTGTCACGTGGAATATTTGAAAATACACAATAATTTATAAAATTTTAAAACTCTCGTGTTACATTTAAATTAAATTGAACAATACAACATGCATTTCAAACACGATATGGCACAACTTTTATAATTAAACAAAAATTACTATGTTCAATGAGACATAGCATTTAAAAAGACAAGATACTTGTAGTGCCTATTATTATAATTTTTTTTTTTGGGCTAAGTCAGAGGAGTTACTACATGCATGCCTTTAATAATATATGCACAAATTTAAATAAAACATTACAAACAAAGTCATGGACTTGTACGTTTAGTTTAAAACAAGAAATCGAAATAACATCGTCAAAATAAAACCTCAACCAAATGTTTGAGTACGAAAATAAAAGGCACCTATAAAACTACTAATTGAAAACAAGGCATACTATTGTTCTATCTTAGTTTCTATGGTCATTCCAACATCCATCGTCATCCGTGCAGGGGCACTTTACCTTTACTTAAAAAAATAAGGGTAGCACGTGAAAAAAAAAACTCCGCAAGTAACCTCATAGTGATGCAAACACACACATACGTGATAGAACTTATCATTTAAAACAACATATCATGACGTTGAGCTCTTTCCAGTTTCAGGTAGGGTTGGATGTGTAATACTTTCCCAACACAGCCCACGCATGTGCACATGGACCCACCAAGCGAGCTCGTCTACGTACCTCCTAGGGCTGAATTGGTGGGGCTCAATGCGCTAATGTGTTGTTGGATGCCACGGAAGGGAAAGACATGCATGATATCTTGACAAACATAAATATCGAAGGCACACGTCCGTACTAACATAACATAACGGGGAAGTATCCTGATGCATATGACATACATAAATGCATGAGATCCCCATTGTTTAAAATCATAGCATAACATCAAAATCATTTCCTTCTTCCTTTCATCCATGACATAGTACATATATGTGTCATGTATACATAGTAATCATCATGACTTTCATCTTATATCCTCACATAATCCATCACATAGCTTTACATGGCAAAATGTAGCATGACATACATAGTGTTTCATTTCATTCATATCTTGGCAGAATAGATATCACATATAGATATATAACACGACATCATACGTCATTACATAGCACACTAAACATAGCATAACATTATGACGCATGCAG